ATATATATATATATATATATATATATATATATATATATATATATATATATATAAGGAGTTCCACTTTAACATTTACACTAAAATATCTCGAAATGTACAAAAGATACAAAAGACATGGAATAATGTATCACACAAAAGTTGTAAAGTTCAATGGGGGATATAACAGAGTACCATTGGTTTGATCTTGGGTAAGTGTAGGCGAGTGAGTGTGACGTTCCTCAGTCCTCATCTGTTCTATAACTTATCCATCCATCACTTATGCATCCATTCATGCATACGCACGCACACACACACACCCACATACATCAATACCCATATACACCCACCCACCCAAACGCACGCACACACACATACACACGTACATACATATACATATCATACGTATATACATATACACACGAAAGAGGTGTAAATCCGATTGAACAACCTGTGCGTGGTACACCTTAGGTAATGTTAATGCCGGCAGTACTGTAACTTTCAAGTTTCATTACTCAAAAAGTACTTAATGAAAAAATACATTATTATAGTGTTTTGGAAATCTCTTGAAATAAGCTATACGAATGTGCAATAAAAAGTGGGAGTTTCATTTAAAAAATTCGAGTTTGGCGTGATCTTGGCGACTCCATCCAAAGTCAAACCAATGGTACCCAGTTAATGTCTCCCATCAAATCTTATAATTTTTGTTTGAAACATTTTTCAATATCTTTTGTATATTTCGAGATATTTTAGTATGAAAGTTAAAGTGGAACCCTTATATATAGAGGGTGGCCATTTTAATTTATCCAGCCAAATATTTCGAAAATTAAAACCGGCAGATAAAAATGTTTCAGACAAAAGTTATATGGATCGATGGGGGATATAAGAAGATACCATTGGTTTGACTTTGCGTGGACCCACCAAGGTCAACTTTGCTTTTTTAAGTAGAAATATACATTTTTATTACGGAATTTTATTCTATGTAAAGAAGCAAATAACTTTTGCTTGAAAACATTTTTTATCTGACCTTTATTTTTTAAGATATTTACGGAAATATCTACAAAATTATTGGTTTCAATAATGTTTTATACGAATTCTATTAACTTTACCGAAAAATAGCAAGAGATAAAAATTGTTTATTTTCTTCTCATAGAGCTCTGAGATTTTTTTCAGAATTTTTAATTAACATTTTTAGTATTGCATTTCCTTGCATTTTCTTGAAGTACTAAAAAATTAATTAAAAATTTTTGGAAAAATTCTCAGAGCTCTACAAGAAGAAAACAAACAATTTTTATCTCTTGCTATTTTTCGGTAAAGTTAATAGAATTCGAGTAAAAAATTATATAAACCAATAATTTTGTAGATATTTGTAAATATTTTAGAAAATAAAGGTCGGATAAAAAATGTTTTCCAACAAAAATTGTTTGCTTCTTTACGTAGAATAAAATTTCGTAATAAAAAGTATATATTTCTATTTGAAAAAGCAAAGTTGACCTCGACCTGACCTTGGCGGAGTCATGTAAGGTCAAGCCAATGGTACTTTCTTATATCTCCCATCGATTTATATAACTTTTGTCTGAAATATTTTTGTCTGCCGGTCTTAGTTTTTAAAATAGTCGGAAATGGCCCACTCTACATATAAAAAAAATTACATTTACAATCGATGAAGCTAATGTATAAATAGTCCGATCACTTTACACTACTAATCAATAAATAACTGTAATAAAATTAACAAAAGTATTAAATAAGACACATTAAAAAAAAGTTGCATGTCACTACTAACGTCATCAATCAAAATTTTCGCGACAAATAGCCAGAATTGCTGACCAATCATAACGGCCACAGTTAATGCATTTAGGTACATACGTTTTATCATAATTAAACTCGTGAATTTTAATTATTATAATTGTATCAGGACCTTGAATAAGTTTTCGCTGTTTTCCAACAAATGGCGTTAACAGAACTGCGTGCGTGTAGTTTAAGATGGTAACACATCTATAAGGAAGTATTATAAGCAAGCTTGAAATTCAGTGTATGTCATTTCGCCGAAGTGTAAACAACTTTTTTTTCATAGTGTTAAACATGTCGAGTTTCGTGCCAAAAAAAGAGTATTTGCGGAGAATTTTACTGCACTACTTTATTAAAAAAAAAAAAAAATCTGCAGCTGAAGCATACAGAATTCTTGTTGAGATTTACGGCGACGATGCTCTGTCGGAAACAACATGCAAAGATTGGTTTAGATGCTTCAAAAATAATGATTTTGATGTTGAAGATAAAGAACGCTCTGGCGTACCGAAAAAGTTTGAAGACGAAGAATTGGAAGTATTACTTCATGAAGACTCATGTCAGACGCTAGCTGAACTTGCAGAATCATTAGGAGTTGATCACACAACAGTTTCGAAACGTTTGAAAGTATTAGGAATATTTCAAAAGCAAGGACATTGGGTGCCGTATGAGTTGAAGCCGAGAGACGTCGAACGGCGTCTTTTCACGTGTAAACAGCTGCTTCAACGGCAGAAAAGGAAAGGATTTTTGCATCGTATCGTGACTGGCAATGAAAAGTGAATACACTACGATAACCCTAAGCGTAGAAGATCGTGGGGTAAGTCCGGTTATGCATCAACATCATTGGCAAAGCCGAATATCCATGGTTCGAAGCTTCTGCTCTGCATTTGGTAGAATCAGCTGGGTGTAGTTTATTATGAGCTGTTCAAACCGAACGAAACCATTACGGGAGATCGCTGTCGACTACAATTGATGCGTTTGAGCCGAACATTGAAGGAAAAACGGTCGCTATACGAGCAGAGACACGACAAAGTGATTTTGCAACATGACAACGCTCGGCCACATGTTGCACAACCGGTGAAAACCTACTTGGAAACGCTTAAATGGGAAGTCCTACCCCACCCGCCTATTCACCAGACATTGCCCCTTCCGATTATCACTTGTTCCGATCGATGGCACATGGCTGAGCAGCACTTCCATTCTTATGAAGATGCCAAAAAATGGATCGACTCTTGGATAGACTCAAAAGACGTGTCGTTTTTCCGACGTGGAATTCAAATGCTTTCAGAAAGATGGGAAAAAGTAGTGGCTAGCGATGGACAATACTTTCAGTGACATGTTTTTTTCGACTTTTTTTAAAATAAAGCATTAATTTTCACGAAAAATCAGCGAGAACTTATACAAGGTCCTAATACAATTATTATAATTATAATATATAGTATATTATTTGAAAGATATTATAAATTCAACATTTTCGTGTTAAGTTTTTTATTATAAAATGAAATAACTTATTATATATTAATTTTAGATAACAAAATTTGAATTCTCTCAAATCATACTACATTTTAGCAAAAACTAAATTTAGACATATGTTCTCACCTGTATGCAGTACCGGAAATTACAGTTCCTAATATAACATGATAAACTGTGTTTCCCACTTTGCCAGGAAGCAACAATAAGAGGCTATCGATAATATGATTCAACGTAACCCCAGTCAACATGGAACTGAACAACAACGCCGGGAAATAATGATGAAAATATAGTACTCTACTCATCGCCCAGAACGGCGCATAATGCAAAATCCATCCAAGAAAAATCCATTTGCCAGCGTGAGTTATTCTGCTTCGTTGTTCGACTAGAACGATATCGTCAACACATCCTCGTTGCTCACGTACAGCAGCATATGCATAAAGAATTATAAACACTATAAGGAAAACTATGTTCCCCCACCAAATAATAGGATTACCAAGTAGGTATATTCTCTGGTTATTTCCAGAAAAAAACTGTCCCTAAAAATAGAAATTTTATTAAGAATAAACTTTGTTATATTCATAAAATCTCTCAATATGATGTATACTGTGGAATATAATTGTATAAATTAATAATTTACAAAAAGAAAGAATAATTAATATCTTACTCTATAATTTATCGGCCATTGCCATGGTCGTGAGGATACTTCTCCTTCTTTCACTTTTAGATCCGAGTTTCCTTGCAACATTACGGCATGTGATTCCAGAAATCTGTCGATAAATCCTGGCGCGTACACTTGGAAACTGACATTTGGTACTAATAAAAATGTACAACATTATATATTCATTATTTCAATAATTACACTGTCTTATTTAAAAAATTTGATAAAAATTAATAGACTTAAATTAATAGAATTAAATCAACAACTTCAATTTCTCATATTTCAGTTCATATAAAAAAGTTATCAATTTCTTTCAAAAACGAAAAATTTATAAACTTACTTTTAACAATTAAATGCTATACTAAATTTATCTAAATAAACATACTTTTTTATGTAAATTAATAATTTTTTTTACTAAGAACACGATTTAGTCATATAGATTTTTCTTAATTTTATTAAATTTTTTAATCAGATTGGTCAATAATTACTTTGTTACCTAAAATTCTTATACTTCTTAGGTATTTTTATACGTAGAATTTTAAAATGAATTCAGAATTTTTTCATCATTTACAGTTTTTTTGTGACGGTCATTTAATATTTAATACATTGTATATAGGACATTCTACATGCAATTCGTAATGTAATTTAATTATAAATTTTTTATATTAAAATACTATCAATATTAAGTATTTTCTGTAAAAAGTTCCTTCATTTAAGTAATATATTTGTCTATAAAAATTAATTAAAATTAATAATTTCTTTCCTTTTTTCGCGATTTTTCTTCAATTAAGACTTCTAATTAATTAGCCGAGAACTCTACGTTGACGGTGGCGACATGATTGTAAACAGCAAAATAATAAACTATTAGGTATAGATTATTGAAATAAGTTAGAGTGAAAGAAAATATTCCTGCCTCTCTCTAACTTATTGCATTAGTGCGAAGTTCATCAAAAACGAACAGATCTGATAATGTAAACAGACGACCAATTTTCTCCTGCGAACTATTGCGTTATTACTGACAAAGGACCTAACAGAACTGTCCCTCCGCGATTTTTATGTTCTTTGAATATGTTGTAGAGCATCAAAAAATAAGAGACACATATTTTTTTTAAATCGGCTTATCTCGAGATTTAGGGATTAAAGCAGTCCCTTGAAGAAAATGAACTTTTTCATTTTTATGGAATAATTTCTAAGATATGAAGTATATGAAAAAATATTTCCTATAAAAGTTTTACAATATTTAATACTCTTTGCAACAGCGTACTTCATTTTTTATAAATGTCAAATTTTTTAATCTTCCCCTCTTTCACTCGTTACTTTCGCAAAATTTTTGAGTTTTTGCAAGGACAAAAATTGCAGAACATTTAGTACCAAATTTATCCATATATAATAGTAAAAGTTGGTCTCGCTTTAATCGTTGAAAAACGACGTGATAACTTCGTGCTATAGGTGTCACACTGTCCAAATAGATGGATACTATCAAGCGACACAGTGTCGCGAAGCCAAGTGCAAGCGCGAAACGGCCGTGTATACTAACGCCGCGACACTAGTTGAATACACACCAGATTTCTTGTTTGACCATAACGGTTGAACCGATGAGATTCTAGATAGGCTCAATCGATTCCTTGGGTTTATGTTAGTTAATAAAACTATCTTTACTTTTGCTCTACGTTTTCTAGAACCTGAGATATTTTAGCTCAAAGTCCGAAATCGCTAAGTTTTACGATTAAGGAATTCGTCGTCTGAGAAAATGTCCAGGATAACGTATTTGTCGCCAGAGGCGCTACGGCTCAGATTAGGTGTTCGGAAATTCGGTATGAGTTATAGTCTGTTCTTTGTAGCTGCGCTGCTGAACTGGTGCAATAAGTTAGAGCGAGACAAAATATACTTTCACTCTAGTTCTCACTCTAACTTATTGAACCAGTTCATTGTT